GAAGGTTGGACGAGCACATGCTGCAGCTGCACAGCAGTCAGGAGGCTGCAGTCAAGGACCTCGACCTGTTAACTTGCTGGCACAGAGTATGTACCACAGAATTATCATGATCGACGTTCAGCAGCAGACATACAGAGAGGGCCTGCCATCCTCTGGGGATTACACCACCAGAACGGTCCAAACCCTGAAGTCGTACTACGATTTTTCCTGCAGATTAATCTAGATCGTCGCTTAATTCCAGACATCTACTAGCCGCAATCGAATTTCGCAGCTGTCAACCAAGTGTCGCCACGTCTGCGTAGAGACATGCACACAGCAGGGGACTGTCAATAGCCAATTAATTAATATCTTCGTCTACATCGACAGAATCTTAACATGAAAAAAAGAGAGAGAATATATCTTATTTTTTTATTTACTGTTAAACGTCAAAAGCAGTCTTACGCTTTCTGCTACTCATACCAGAAGAATCCCAGCACGATCACGATCACGAGCACGGGCCGCCCGCTGCCCCTGAGAACAGGAAGTTGGAACTCTGGTGGAGGCCAGGCCGGCAGAGGACTCCGTCCAGAGTATAATCGGGTTGGATGAGAAAAAAAATAGTGCAGACGGAATCCCTACCCTAACATACTCAGGAATGGAGGATTAATATTCCGTCCGAGCCAAACAAATTTAACAATTCCAATTCGTGCACAAAAAACCCAAGTTTGCAGATCCTTTCCCGTCTGGGGAAATGACTGGCCAATAATAATGATGGATAATGGATCGGGACCCAAGTTTACCCGGAAGGTCTATGTGATTAGGTAAGTCAGTCAGTCCTGCATGAATGAATTAATGCAATTATATTCATCCCTGACCAGTAGGACAATTACTACGGAGTACAATTATCTCTGAAAGACTGGCAAGGAACGTGTTCTTGCTACAGATGAATTGTATTATAATATTCGTGCGTCATGTCTAGAGGAAAGTATTATTACAGAGTAATATCAAGAATAATGCGACCGTCATCCCCTGCCGTCACCCGTGACGAGTTGCGGCTACAAGCTATCAGAACCACCAGCGCAGCTATATGAGCTTCGTCTGTGAGATCAACCATTAAGCGTTAACTTAACAGCGCCAGACTCATTTCCGAGGTCAGATCTTGAGATCTCCTGCTGCGAGACCCGCTTGGCGTGGATAAAAATGGGACGGACGGACCTAGTTGATCAACGAACCTTACAGGGCATGGCTGCTCAGGTCTGTGTACACGGATTAGCGTCGCTGTCACGGCTGGTTATGCATCGCGAGTCATGCATCAATAGATCGATCGACCATCGACATTATTACCTATCGATCTTTTCCTGTATACTCCGTAGAGAGGTCTGCTGTGATAGTCCATATCTCATCATTCTCTACCTACACATCCTGCAATCAATAGAAACAGTAGCAGTTCATGAACATCTAACACAGAGAGACGTTGATAGATGCACAGCATGATTTTGATCATGTATAATAAAAAAGGTATAAAAAGGGTAAGCAGTAATCCCGCTTGGACAGAGGAGAGAACAAAAAAAAGTACCCAAAGTATAACCCAATGCGCCCAGCTGGACCTTTTGAAGAACCCTCATGATCATGTGCCAGAAGTGGTTCCATCATCAACTGTTCCACGTAGCAGCAATAGGAAAAAGGCGGAGAAAGAAAACAAATATACATCTGGAAACCATGAGAATCAGACTCTTCGGAACATGGCTACAGCCTCCTCCTTGCTCCACTCCAGTTCGATCTGGCCATCGTAAACAGAGTCGATGATTCGCTTGAGACGGTCGTACGTGTCGGCATATCGTGCCTCACACTCCTTATACACCTTGCTCACCAAACTCCGACTCAGTCCAGGATCGTCCGCATCTCCAAAATGCTTCTCCACCCGTTTCTTCAACAGGTCAGCGCCACGCCGCAGTTCCTTCGAGTCATAGGACGAGACCAATTTCCTCGCCACATTCTTCGAGTGGCTGGCGCGTGCGGCAATGTCGCTAGGGTTGCTGGTGGTTGCGAGAAGAGACTCCGTCGACTCGATGAACTCGAGCAGTTTACCCAGTGGACGACGGATCACGGCATCCATGTACAGCTTCATGTGTTCGTGGTAGTCTTGGATCGCTCGATCGCGCCATTTCTCCAGAACAGGAAGCCCACGGACATCAACTTCTTCGATGTAGTGGTTCATGTTCTCAATGAGAAGAATGTGATAGTTGAGCGCCTCCTTATCTTCCGGATCGGTGGCCCCAGTAGTCGCACCCGGCGCTTGACCCGGCGCTTCCTTTGCGATAAACTTCAGACTCTCCCACATGGCACGATTGATCTTGTTGTAAGCTTCGTTGACACTTAACCGGATCTCAGAGAATTCTTGCGATGGGTAGGCCAACATGTTCTCGACGGCGGCCGAGAAATTGGGGAAAATCCTCATGAACGAAATGACTCCTTTTCTCTTGTTCACTTTGACTTTGGTCTCCTCAATTCCTCGGATCTGTTCGTCCACAAATCGGCTGAAGAGCCCGTTCAGGCGAGAATGTAGTTTCTGCAGGGAATGGACAATGAAGTCTTGGTTTGTGTCTTCAAACTCGGAGATGGCCCTTTCCAGCGCAGCCAGCACTCCGACCCCTTGCCTGCAAAAGAAGATCAGTCCCGAAATACCAAGGCCAGAACAATGACATGATGATGTACTTACAGTTGATCGGTCTTGATGACCCACTCCACAAGGTTTTGCATGTCAGTTTGCCAGAAGGAATAGATGCCATCCATCATCTGTTCGACTTTCTTAGCCAGGTCACGGTCAGGATCGTGCGAGTGCTTCACACTCAAATCTGGACGCTTTCGGTCTTCGGGATTGCTGGCGGCCACAATATCGGGAAACTCGGCATTCGAGAGGGAACTCAGGTGGAAAAATTGAACTGCGAAGTTCTGCTCTTCAGAGATCACCCTGAGCGTCTCCTGTAGAGCACCGGCGAACACCTCAAAGGGCTCCATCTTCCCAGTCTGTCGTTTTTCGCTAATGGACAACCGCAAACCCCCGGTAACGCGGACGGTCTTGCCTCTCCTCACAGTCAATTTACGAGCCGCAGTCGCAATACCATCGATATCTTTTTCCTTTTCATGATGTGTAAAAAGCAGTTCATGTTCCTCGCCTGTTGGCTTTTTCGCAGCCTTCTTCCAGGAACTGCAGTGATCCCGGAACTCATTTTGGTATGGACCTTTAGCCTCTTGTTCATACAAACTGATGATTGCGGTCCACTCCTTGGAGCTGACCTCGCGAGCAAAGAGCATCAGGGCATTGTACATCCACAGCTCTTGACGAGCGAGGTCCCGAGAGGTGCTATCCAGCTTCAGAGGATCTTTGTTGGAATTCGCCGCAGCGTTAGCTCTCTTCTGCTCAGCCACTTTGAAAGCAACAGACATGAACTGTTTAAGCCGTTGCAAGAAGAGACCAGCTTCGACACGGTACTCTTCCTTCTTCTCTCTGATAGCGCGCATTTGGCCCACTTCTGTGTCAGCGTAAACGCCAAGACCGCTGTGATCACCGGCAGCATCAGCCATGCGCTTCTTATTTTGACGGATGTCCGAATCGATCATCAACATGGCCTTATACAACATTGACAGAACCGTTTCTGTTTCTTTGATACCGTCCGGGTTGCTTAAAGAAGCTTCTTTGAGCGGCCGCAGGTCTTCGGAAGAGATCGACAGAGTCTTGAGAAGATTTTGAAGTTCATTTTGAAGCAGCTTCTGGTTGGCGGTCTGCACCTGCAGACCTTGAGACTGCGCTTCAATATAGGCGACATCGTCGTGAAGCGTCTTCAATTCCGTTAGTTGATGCAAACAAAGATTTGTTCTTCTGAGGAGGACTTACGCTTAATTCGTGTGAATACAGAGTCAAAAGACCATCCAGTTCGTCGCATTCTTCAATGGTTTTGTCAATCAGCCTTGTCAGCTGGTCGATCTTCCCTTCTTGATGCTCAATATTCCCCAGCCAGCTGGTAGCTTGTACCCTGCCAATCTGTCGCCGGATATCGGCCTCGAGATCTTCGATCTTCTTGTCATCACTCAACCGACCGTTCCAACCCAAATCCGTGAGAATATCGTCAAATTCGGCGCCACGCCCTTCAAGGAGGCTGGGATCGATGCCCAGAGCCTGGCAATACTTGACCGTATTATCTTCACGGCGTTTCCGACGCCGTTCCTGGGAAGGTGATCTTGACCTCGATCTGGACCTCTCTTCTGTGGTCTCTGTTGCGCCTGCGGAGAGAGCCTCTTTCGTCTCATCCCCAGTGGTTGGCTGAGCAGCATCATCGGTGCCAGCTCGCGTGATCTCGACTTTGGGAGGCTCTTGCCCAGAAGACGTTGTGGTGGAAGGTGCAGGTTGGCTTGTTGTCGATGGACTAGCAGGTGTTTTGTTGGCTTCGTTATTCAGAGCGCGAAGCGAAGGAGCAGGGACAACGCTCGTAATGCCGTCTGGTTCATTAGACGGGGTCTGGTTCCTTTGTTTCATAAGCCTCTCCCCAGCACCGCCTGGTCGCGGTTTGAAAGCGCTATACGCGTTCGCTGCCTTGCGGAAAGCACCCGCAACATCTTTTGCAGACTTTTTCTTAACCATAGGCCCCAGACCGGGACGGTGAACCTCTTCCTTTTCTTCGGGAGGTTGCGTTTCAGGTTTCTCTGGCGGACTAGTAGGCGGCGAGGTCGCTGGAGGTTCGGCAGAGGGTTCAGCGGGCGGTGCACTGACTGTGCTCTGGGGCGGGGCCTCCGTCGACTCGGTCGTTTTGGAGGGAGCAGCCGTCGGCTCTGTCGTTTTAGAGGGAGCAGTCGTCGGCTCTGTCATCTTGGAGGGAGCAGCCGCCGGCTCTGTCGTTTTGGAGGGAACAGCCGTCGGCTCTGGAGGAGGTTTCGTCGGCTGTGCTTCTGGGGGCGGCCGTGTCGATTCTGAAGGGGGCTTCGTACTCACGCTTCCAGAAGAACCCGGCCGAAGAGAAGGCGGTATTTCGACGTCGAGATTTCGTGGTGTTTGGTTGGATCTGTCACTGCCCCTAGAAGGTGGCCCACCATCCTGTCTGCTGGAAGGTCTGGACAGCTTGTCACTGCTATCAGTCAAAAATGTTCTCTGACCGATGCTTCCAGAAGGCGTGTGGTCTGAAGTAACAGAGCCAGATGTAGAAGGTGGCACAGGTTCTTTATTGACGTCCAACCCTTGAAAGGGCTTGTATTCAGGTGTTTCTTTCCCGTCACGCGACGGCGGGGGTCTCCCACCCTGCCGGGAGTCAGTTGTCCTGTCTTCCACGCCTCTAGGCCTAGTTCTAGTTGACTCAGGGGACGAATCCACGGGTGAGCGAACAGAAAAGTCTGATTTTGAATCCAATTGAGACTTGGGAGGGCCAGCCATCCTGTCGCTCTCCAAGCGTCCATTCAATTTGGAAGAGGGCTCTTCCCGCTGATTTGGCACCTGAGGCCCGATTTTTGCCGGAGATTGACCAGTAGAAGGTCTGGGTATCTGATCTCGACTCCGTTGGCTTTTTAGGAACTGTTCCTCCGATGGTTGCAGTCTCAGATCCCTTTTCCCTTCGCGACTGGGAGCGCGATTCGAATATTGCGAACTCTGCTGGTCGGGCTGCGGGGCCTGTGATCCCTGGGGATTCTCAGAGGCCTCAGGCTGGGACGACCCCTGGCTGGTGTCACCGATAAGCATCTGCCGTTGGCGTTCATCGAAGCCGATCAGTTTCGGGACCCTGCCGCCCGTGTACTTTTTATAGATTTTCACGAGACTGGCAATGAAGAAATCCCTCTCTTTGTAGTTCGCCGCTTGCCAATAGTACGGCTTTCCGATGGTGACCACAAAGCCCACATTCGAAGCCCACTGCTTCTGCTGCTGCTCCAGCTGTGTGGTGGCCGGCAGGTCTGTGTACGACTGTATAGAGACCAAGTCGTCCAACATCCAAGTTTTGCCAATCGAAAACGATCCATCATTGTTTTCACGAGCTTTGTGCATGCGCACCCGGCCGGACTTCCTCAGAGCAACGATGATCAACCGCGGCTTCTTGTTTTCGGGCGGCGAATTCGGCGGAGCAGGGGTTGATGGATATGCAGCATCTTCTGTGATGCGGATATGCGTGATGTAAGACTCGGCTACTGCATCGACAGGAGAGAGCTTGTTAGTAAATCATACCAATACCAGAATGCAAGAACGAAGGGAGCTTTAGTAGGCCCCGATCCAAGGGGGAACATCGTCCGCTGGATCTGCGACTTGGGCCAAGGAGTCTCCTTGAATCCGAAGATTCTCTCACAAAAGCTTCCATAAAAGGTACTCTGAGGGGCTATGTAGTGGGCAGGGAAACGTACAGACACCATCACTATCCTTCTTTGAGAAGCAGCTCTGGATAATTCTCCGCTTCTCGTCCTGGAACATTTGTGCCCTCGACATCGTACCACCCCCACGACCCGCCCCCGCATCATTGCGAGCATCTTCAGCCGGCCGTCGTGACCTAGAAGCCGGAGGCTCCTTGGGAGGATACCCTCGAGGCTGCTCGCGGCTGCTCATTATTGTGATTGTAGGGGGTGCGGCTCATCCAGGTCTCGAGGCCCCGCTGGACATGAACCGGTGTCGCAAATTGATGCAGATAATTCGGGCCGCACAAAAATACGGACTGACAAGATTATCAGAGACTTCCAGGCCTGCTGGAGGGGAATCGACTGCTGGCTCTGTTCCGAGTAGCCACCGTTTGGGGATGGAACGCCTGGGTGCAGTTGCAGCCGCTAGCGGCGGAGGCCGTTGATTGGGACATTAGACTAGCTACGGAGGACTGCACGGCCAGTGCACCTGCTTATATTTGCCACGGGCAGGTATTCTCGTGGGATGCGACTATGCGCTTCAGGAGCCATTGGGGTCTGTCTACATGAGAGCAGGATCCCAGATCTTATCATCTGCAGCGACAATGTTTTGGCCTCCCTCGCATCAGCCGTTGAGCCATGGCGACTCGACCCTTGCAGGCCTTCTGTCCTCCGCGGCAGCAATCTGGATAGCGGCCGGCCGCAGGGACCACGTGAGGCGACGCGAGCGCGCTAGTCCGTCTACGGCACCCTGTGGCGGGCCAATCATATATAGGGATTGCTCACCGCCTGCAGTCGCTTAGCGCCAGCTGTTTTTCCACCAGGAACTTTTTTTTCTCTGTCGAGAGCTTCAAGAAGAGAAATCATACTCGCAAGCTTTTCAGTGGGATACTCGAGACAATCGCACTGATCGCGTGGCAGTATGGCTCAGAAGAAGAACCCCAAGACTCCTGCCGCCGGAAAAGGCCCCTCGGACAAGAACAAGCAAGCAAAGAAGCCCGGGAACAAAGAAGTACCGCACTCTTGGCTATGTCAACTGTATGCGACAGAATAGCTAACTAGTGACTCTCTCAGGCGAAACCGGAAACCAAATCTAAAACGACGACTCCTGCCCCCCCTCAATTGCTCGTTGCTTCCGTTGCCGCTTTCCTGACCGAGTTTGGCTTCCACAACACCACCCAGGCGTTTGCGAAGGAGCAGAAAGATGACAGTGGAAAGGCTGCGGTAACCAAGGCAGCGAAAGAGGAAAATGTCCCGTCCTTGCTCGACATCTACAAGGCATGGGAGTCTAAGTCGGGTAGTGCGTCCGCGAAGAGATCTGTTACGTCGAGCAGCGAGGAAGACAGCGACAGCAGCTCTGCTGAGTCGAGCGATTCCGATGTTGAGATGGAGGATGCCCCCCAGAAGGTCAAAGGAAAGCGGAGCAGGAGCTCTACGCCCTCGTCGGCTTCTTCCACCAGCTCTGACAGCGATGCGGATGATGAGTCTGGGGAAGACACTAAAGTTCCGGGTCCTAAACCGACTGGTGTGAAGCGGAAGGCCGAGTCTGAACCCGAAGACGAGGCGTCGACAGCGAAGAAAGCGAAATTAGGTGCCAAGGAAGATACAAGTGAGTCAGAGTCCTCTTCGTCCGAATCTTCTGAATCGTCCGAATCTTCTGATTCAGAAGATTCAGAAGTTTCTTCGGATTCGGTGTCCTCAAGCTCCGACTCTTTTGACACTGACTCAGGTAATGAGTCGGATTCTGAAGAGTCCGAATCCGAATCCGAATCCGAATCCGAATCCGAATCCGAATCCGAATCTGAGTCTGAATCTGAGTCTGAGTCTGAATCTGAATCTGAGTCCGAGTCTGAATCTGAGTCCGAGTCGGAGTCTGAGTCTGAATCCGAATCCGAATCCGAATCTGAGTCTGATTCAGATGCATCTGAGACGAAAGAATCAAAAGAAGACCGCAAGGCCCTGAAGTTGGCTGCGAAAACGCCACTTCCGCCGTCTGACAGCGAGTCGAGCGAGTCAAGTGAGTCGAGCGAATCAAGTGAATCAAGTGAATCGAGCGAATCGAGCGAATCGAGCGACTCCGACGAGTCTGACGAGTCCGAAGAATCCGAAGACTCGTCATCGGAGTCTTCGTCTTCGGAGGAAGAAGACAACAAGAAAGCAGACAGAAAATCCTCTACCGACACCACCAGTACACTAGCAGGCTCCGACTCGTCAGAGACAAAGAGCAAAGAAGAAAAGGCGGATTCGGCGGCCCCTTCGACCAAATCCAACCAGTCAAACGGTACTCCTGCTTCTCAAGACAAGAAGAAGAAGAAGCAGCATACCGGTGCCCGCCAGACGCCGCTGGCTGAAGCCAGTGCCCGTCCTCACAACCACCCGTCAAACGCCTACGTCCCCTACGCGTACGCCGAGCGCGCTCATAAGGACCTCTCCGTCACCCGCGGCAAGGAATTCACCAAGGAGAAGAACAAGAAGAAGCGCGGCTCATACCGTGGTGGACCGATTGACATTGGCCCGTCCAAGCACAGCTACAAATTCGAGGACTGAGTGAGATGAGACGAGACAGCCTTGCCAAATATTTCGTTCCGGAAGAAAGACAAAACAAAGAAAAAAGCTCTATCTTCCCCGATATACGATTCGATTAAAAAAAATGTCTTATGAGCCTGACTGGTTACTAGACTAGAAGCTAGAAACTAGACTAGACAGGCGGACTCAATCTTCTTGCATCATACTGTACACATACTAAACGGGGTATTCATTTACCTCTGGTGTTTTTCGGTTCTTGTCCTTTTTTTCCTTTTCCCCTTAAAAAAAAGCGAGGCGTTAGATGGAATTTTTTTTTGCAAACAAGGATACCATGATGGCATGGCATCATTCATCATGGGACTTTTCCTTTTTTTTCTTTATCTTTAAAGGCCATTGTGCTCATACTGCATAGTACTCGTTGTCTATCTTGCTGGCCCCTATTATTAGCACGATACTTTGTACTGTAGCTAATACAACTGAATTCTCAATCTGTTAAGTAAGCTGTTGTAAGTCGATGCGTTTTATTATTTCTTGTCGAGAATGAATCAAAGCGAAGGCGGAGATATACACCCCTGTTATTGAATTTATCGAATTTCAGTTTTATTTCTTTTTTTTTTTCGTTCTTTTTCTGTTCAATCATGACTTTAAAATACAAGGGACAGTTCACCACCTCTATTCCGCCGGTTGCAGATGTGAGATTTGAGGAAAGCTTGTAAGCAGAATGACTACCTTGGTTGCAATCATCTAACCCGACAGACTCCAAGATTTGCCGGTTACTTCCTTTATCGACTGGAGGATCTCACTCTGCGGAACCATGAGAGCCACAGAACCACTTCCTGTCTTGAAGCTACTTACAAGCTGCCCAATCCAACTCCAGCCATTCTCTTCTAAAGCAGGACAGAACACTCCACAGCCGTCATCGCCAGGAAGAGCGGCATCTCCTTTACCATCAGTTGGGTGAACGATGATCAATTTTGCACAGTTCACCTGGTCTGACGGGTGCTCCCGCCCTGGATTTGCGCCTCTGTGATGGCATCGGCAGTAATCCCATTCCAAAACATCATAGCTTCTGTCTCTCCAATCCTTCCAGAGGTGCAGCCGGTGCTTGCCCCGTCTTTGTAACAAATCGCACCAGCCATGGCGTCGACAGCAGAAGTGATACCCTCTGAGCCAGTAAACATATCGGCCGGAGAGGGGTCTGTTGCAAGGTATGTGTCCTTCATCTCGTCGTCATCTAGCCACGATCCATTGGGACCCTTCCATTCAGGTTCCAGGCGAACCAGGACTCAATCGCTGCGCCAATTATTTCCATTTGTGCCAATGTGTCCATAGCTCACTTCACCACATCCTTTTCGTCATTGGTCAAGTAAGAAATTAATCTCTGCCTCGTTGTTCTGCTGGGAACCAATTTTAAGAAGACGTGTCAGAATATCTAGCCCACCTGGCGTTATAACCCGCCTTTCCCCAGTGGACATAAATGGTAACACATGGTAGGCAGTTAGAGCATAAGACTCGTTCTCCTCATCTTCAGGTGACAAGAAAACAGCAAATGAACCTTTGGACTCCTCGTTCATAAGGGATATGGACTGGCCGTGAACAAATGGTCCACTGTTTCCACAGCACGTACAGGATGATTTCTCCTTAGTGTAGCTTTCCGACACCAATTGCCACCTTGTCCAAGTTGGGAGGTTCCAAGAGGGGAGCAATAGCATTGATGCGTCCAGTTGCATCTCTCAGCGTCCCTCTCATGATGATAGTAGGTATCGATTGAGTAGAAGCAGACTCTGCTAGATATTCCGTAGCCTCTGCATCAACGTAGAGGCAAATGCATCGAACCCACAAGTTTTCCCAGCCAAACCTGCAAAAGGTAGCAATAACAACACGAGCTTCAATCTCCCGATGAAGATAGTCAACGACATATGGGAGATTTATATCAAAAGGCTGAACAGGTTGTTGATCTATTGCCGTAATGATGATGCCCGGAGGCGGGGGCGACAGGATGAGCAATCCACCTTCTCCAAGCTCTACACGAATGCCACTCGAAAGGAACGTTCCTCTCGCAAACAACCTAGCATGGGAAGGAGTTTGTCAACAAGTCCTACATTGCTTCCGGTTGCATAAGGTAGTCATCATAGATACCTCTGGTTATAACCTCTTGGGCCGTCCAGTAGGCTCATCACAGACCATAACTGCATCGCATTCGTCGATGGATCAACAATAAAGTTCTGCATTCCCCATCTTAGAAGCTTTTCCATCGCATCTTGATAATCACTGTTCAAGTTCAAGGGACTGCCAGGTTGTTGCTGACCAAGGCCAAGCAGTGCATCAATGATGGCCCCAGCGACGGATGCGTCTCTTCCTTCTGACAAGTCTGTCAAGGCGGTTAGGACGACGTCCCGGTCTGAGTAGTCGATGACACGTTGTATTTTTGCCCGGAAATCGGCAAAGATATCTCTTGACATCTCGCTCCTTCGCTGAGTGGGACCTTAGCAACTGGTTCAAGTGAAGGCCAAAGACGCAGTGAATGATATCAATCTGCGAAGAAGCTCCAGATGAGATACCAGGTCAGTATATCTGCTGAAAGATGACCAATAAGCGTGGTGATATGGCTAAGTACGGAAAGTGTTACCTAGAATCCAAGAGAGGAACTCTCAAATAGGTAAAGCTATGTAGCTTCTGAAAGCCGTCCTAAGGGACTGAAGGTATTGACCATGGGCATTACCTATCATAGTCGCCTTAGGATCACTGAAGTTGATAGATTATATACACATATCTATGTACGTATACAATCTATGAGTCGGGAGTCCCCTACACTCATTCTCAATAAATTGTAGGATTATGACGTGGGAAAAATTAGCACAAGTAGGATCATAACTAATATGCATACCCAGGCAAAGAAAAGACATGGCAAAATTTTGGTTTGTGTTTTGCTTTGGGCAAGTCTACAAGATGTTGTCTGATTAGTCAGTCGCCTACCTATGTGCATTCAGCATTTTTGCTTTTGTTTTTATCGTATACAAAACCAACACCATGCCAACCAACCAAACGCCCGGTCTATAGGTCTATATGCAGAGGCTCTTTTTTTCTTGTGTGTGTGTTTTGCTACCGTCACAACCGTCTCCTCCAGAATCCCCCTTCATCCAACCTCCTCCAGCGCCGATCCCAGCCAGTCTCTTGTTCTGTCAGCACGTCTTTCTCCGTCACATCCCAGAAGGGCTTTTGCGTCCGAAGCTTCGCGCTGGCGCTCATGTTTTCTGGACTGGGGCGCTCGTACCCCGATAGCTCTAGGATCTTCTCTCCGCGGTAGTGTCCTGCGGATCCGTTGTTGTTGTTGCTGTTGTTGTTGTTGTTGCTACTGCTGTTGTTATTCATGGTGTCAAGACCGAGGGCCAGGTTTTCGCGGTACCACTCGCTGTTGCTGCCGGTCAGGTCGTCCGTAGAAGCGAAATCCAGGCGCACGATGCCGTCGACGATGCCGGTATAGATCGTTGACGAGGACGGGGAGGGTGAGGACATGGCGTAGATAGGACCGCGGTAGGCGTGGTGGGTGCGTCTACCAGAGGTAGTCGGTGGGTGGTGAGAAATAAAGAACGAGAAGTCTCGGCCAGGAACAGCAGCTGTTCTTGGAGTAGTAGCCCTCATTCCATTCTCTTGAGCCTTTGTCTCAGGCGATGTCGAGCCTACATTATTGTTTTGGCTCGATGAAGAAGTAGACAGATTCGTATCCATGTAGCTGTAGGTGTTTTGCATGCGGAGGTCAAAGATTTTGACAATTGCGTCGGCTCCTGCTCCCACGAGGAAGCGATCGTGGCCAAAAGGCTGAATGCAGTAAATTGGATTGTTGTCTATCGTGTCCATAAATTCTCGTTCGTATGATTTCGGTGAGCGAAGGTCGTGGAGCCTGTAGGACTTCACGTTACTACATAATTCCTTTGGTCTCTTACAGAAAAGAACATACCTGACCCTGCGATCACCCCATCCAGCGAGAAATACATCTCCTGGAGAGCCACCGGCAGGATTGAAAGGCGCAATCGCGCTCACTCTCATCGCCTTCCGGGTCATCCAGTCTAGCCCGTGGCGAGGGGGCTCGTCAAAGGTGAGCTCACGGTGTCTCAAAACCTTGTCATTGGTCACATCGAAGATCACAATTGACTGCGACAGACGGCCTGTGCCAACGGCAATTCGATCAGAGGACAGGAACTTGGGGAGGTTGAGCGGGGCTCTGGTTTCTGGGTCTGGCGTCAAAACAGCAAATGGGTGGACCTCTGCAGCTCCAGTCGTGGTGTGGAAGAGCGAAATAGGGCCATTGTAGGAATGGACAGCGAGCATCGACCCTGGACCCGTGCTAAAGTCGATCCTGTCGATTTCCGTCCGGTTGGTGACGAAGGTTTGCTTGTGTTCGTAAACAGCGTCGTCGGGCGAGATGGCGACATGGACGAGATCGCCACGTGCTCGACCGTAAATGAGATGCTCTTTATCAGCCTCCTTGCTTGGATGATCTGGTCTCAGCAAATACACGCCGCGGATATCGTCGTGGCTGCTGATGTGATCAAGGTCGTTGAACCGCAACCATTGCTCCTCGATGCGATCGCCAGACTTCCTGATCCGCATGAGCAGCTCAGCAGCAGCACCCCAGACCAGAACCTCCCTTCTGTCCGCCCAGCGGTTCCCCGTCCAGACCTCATAGCAGTCTATTGCAGGGCGGTAACCCAGAGTTGGGCTGTCATGCCTGGTCGCCTGGGGAATTCCCACAGTTTTCGCATCCGCCGGCGGAACGACAAAGCGACCGATGATGGCATGTCGATCCAGTGCTCGAGATCGCGAAGTGAGCGCCCGCGCCGCGTCTTTCCAGAACGGAGGGGTTTCTATGGCAGGGAACTGGCTCTGAACGAAGGCGCGGAAGATGCGTCCATTTTCCGCGGTGATGATGTGATAGAGCCGCTTACACGTCTGCGCCAGATGGGCCAGTGCACCAGCAGTCGGCAGAAAGGTCGCAATATGGTAGATGATTTCGGATGGTAGTTTGGAGAGCATCTCTCGACAGTGTCAACAGGAAAAAATATCCGTCCGCCAAAATCGAGTTCAGCCGATGGATTTCATCACGGCTGTGTGGGCGGTCGGATCTCTTCTATGACGCACGCGACCTCCAGACTGATCATCCTGAAGAACCTCAATCAAGATGCAGCCTAGTGTTGGATCATCATGAAGGTGGACCTTGCTGGGGAGGTTGAATGCGCAGGCTGTGTTGATGCGGGCCAAGTCGCCGCCGATGATTATTTATCTGGACGCACGTCATGGCGCGTTATCGGTTATCGGCGACCCGCCAACCATCTATCTCCGTCTCATTCTTTATCGACACCGCCTCGCCTTACGGGGAACAGAAGATCGACCCACGTCGCGTATCTAGGGAGCACGAGAGCCTCTCAGTTTCTTATTCAAGTGCAACAACTCTGCATCTTTCCAATCCCACAGGACAGTGCGATTGTGGAGAGAGAGGGCATGGCAGGTTACTACTGGTGCCACCAGAGTGAGGACACTGGATCAAGCACTACGAACACGTCTTCGTTCAGAGGAATATATATCCGTTCAGACTAACTCATTACTCTCGACTTTCCTCTACTTCTGAAGGACCTGGCATGTTGCACGCATTGCACCCGTTCAGCTAGCTTGATTGATCTGCCTGGAACAATGGCTCTATCTCACGCGACCCTCGCAGGAATTGTACTGTTGTGTGCTCTTCTCTACAAATATGTCCTGTATCCTGTCTTCTTCTCTCCCCTGTCGAAGATTCCGAATGCGCATCCAACCGCGCCCATATCACCACTCTGGATCATCTGGAAACGGTTCAGAGGCCAGAACAACCGAACTATCCATGCCGCCCATGAAAGGCTGGGTCCAATCGTGAGACTCGGGCCGTCTGAGATTTCGATTAACTGTGTCGACGGTGGTATCAAGACGGTGTATGGGGGTGGCTTCGAGAAGCATGACTGGTATCCGAGGGTTTTCGGGTCATACGGGTGAGTGGACAGACGTAAATACATGCTTCAGTTTGGCTGATATTGATTTAAAATAGAACAGTCAGCATGTTCACGATGACCGGAAGCAAGGAGCATTCTGCCAGGAAAAGGATGCTGTCGAATATATATTCCAAATCCTATCTGCAGTCCTCGCCCGCCTTGAAAGTCATATCTCGAACCATGACATATGACCGCTTTCTTCCGATTCTGCACGAAGCTGCATCTTCCGGGTCGCCGCTCGACATTCACGACCTTAATCAGGCATTAACTATGGATTTTGTTTCCGCCTACCTCTTTGGTCTTCAAAATGCGACCAATTTTCTGCAGGATCTACCAACACGGAGGTTTCTGCTGCACAACTATCAATGCAGGAAGCCTTTTGAGTTTTATTACCAAGAAGTTCCCGGTCTTGTCACTCTGAGCAGGCGTCTTGGGATTCCCGTCATTCCAAAGTGGTGTGAGGAAGCAGGGAGGGTGATGGATGAGTGGAACCTGGACCTTTGCGACAAGGCCGAGAAATCTCTCAACGAGACGGAGCCGCATTTAGAGCCGACCGTGTACAAGCAGCTGAAACGATCCATGATGAAGCAGCTGCAAGCAGAGAAGGATGATCCAGAGCGAAACGCTGAGACCATGAAGCAGCAGCGGTTGGACATCGCCTGCGAGATGTTCGATCAACTCACAGCCGGCCACGAGACCAGTGCTGTCGGTCTCACTTATCTGTTCTGGGAGCTTTCCAGGCACCCTGATCTCCAGGAAGAACTCCGCAAAGAACTGAAAACACTATCCCCTCCCATCGTGTATCCCCCCACACCCGAGTCATCGGGTGAACTTCCCGAGCCCAAGAAGATCGACTCCTTGCCTCTTTTGCAGGCCATCGTGATGGAAACCCTGCGACTTCACGCCCCGATCCCGGGGATTCAGCCTCGCAAGACACCATATCCTTCGACAACGCTGGCTGGATACGAGAACATACCTCCGAACATCAGGGTCAATGCGCAAGCTTACTCACTACACCGCAATCCGGACGTGTTTCCTGACCCTGAATCGTGGCAGCCCCGTCGGTGGCTGAGGGAATACAACTCGCCGGAGATGGAGGAGATGAGACGATGGTTCTGGGCGTTTGGAAGCGGCGGGCGGATGTGCGTGGGGAGCAATCTCGCTTTGCAGGGTGAGTGCAGACATGTGTAACATATCATGCACCTGACAGTGTCTACCTGGATCTGATAAACCGGTAATCAAATTGCTGTAGACAGGGCTGACTCTTTGCAGAAATGAAGCTGGCAACTGCGGCCATCTACAGCAACTATTCGTCAAGTATCGTCGACGATGAGGGCATAGAGGCCATTGACGCTTACACGGTCAAGCCTACGAGCAACAAGTTGATCCTAAAGTTTGAGCATGTGTGACGACTGTCAGGTCTGGATATATATATAAGCGCCATTCTCAACGCAAAAGAAAACATAATTGCTAAGTTCGTCCTTTTTTGGTATGCCGTATTCACCACGTGGGGGGATATCTTGGATATAACTTAGCTAGGAAATCCCGTTACTTTGCTTGACCGGGACCGGAAAGGGAAGTGGGCCAGTCACACGTCTCCAAAATTTAATATAGATACGGACGTGGATATAGCGATAACATACGGAGTATTAATTATTTTCAAACCTTCCTCAGCGAAGAATGATTGATTCTCCGATCGCGTGTCTATCTTTTAAAGATAGCCAGATCTCCCCCATTGTCCCGACATATCTCCCTCCCAGAGGAGCATTCAGTTCAATTCAATTTGAACAGATTGTGATTAATTAATAACACCGACTAATCAATATGCCTGACAAGGATGCGGGTGCTCCCCGCGTGTATATCGCCCGGCATGGTATAGTAATACTTTCTTATCCTCTCCTTCTTGTACAGTACAGTACATACATGCCGCTCTCTTCCAGGCTCCCTTCTTCTTTACTGTCATGATTGAAAGCAGTTCACTTTCCTGTTTCCAACTTCTAACAAGAAAGTTCTCACGAATGAAAAGAAAAAGAAGAGAGAGAGAGAGAGTAGTAGAAGGAACAGCAATGGGGCAAAAAAAAGCCTTCACCACACTATACAACTCTGGATACCTAGACACATATGTACTGTACATGCATACATACAAACAGTAAACTAACCAAGGAGGGCGAACAGGCGAAACCGAATGGTCCCAAACCGGCCGATACACCGGCATCACAGAGCTCGAACTCACCCCGCATGGCACCGCCCAGGTGCAGAACACTGCCAAAGTGCTTGTCGGACCGGGCAAGCTGATCGACCCGGCGCGCGTGGCGCGCGTGTATGTCAGTCCACGGAAGAGAGCGCAGATGACCTTCAAACTACTCTTCTCTGGCGGTAGCAATACTGCGGAAGAAGGTATTTTGTTGGACACAGCCAAGATCTCCACGACAGACAGACTGGCCGAATGGGGATATGGATCATACGAAGGCCTCAAGACGAGTGAGATTCGAGCATTGAGAAAGACGCATGGCCTCGACGTGGACAGGCCGTGGGATATCTGGCGGGATGGATGTGAGGGGGAAGGGGGAGAGTGAGTAGCATCCATCCATTCATCCGTCCATCTATCCATCTATCCGAGCAGGACAATTCCTAGGGGTACTGCATTTGAGGTTTATTTCCTGCTGATTGATTGCGTCTTGTCTAGATTCCCCTCGCAGGTCGCAGCCCGGCTGGACGACCTGATCAACGAAATCCGCGCCATCCAGGCCGGGCACATGCACGGTGAACCGGGACCGGCGGATGTCGTGCTCGTCGCGCACGGCCACATTCTCCGGGCGTTTGTGAAGCGGTGGTTGGGGCATCCGTTGGATTTTCCGTTGTCGTTGATGCTGGAGCCAGGTGCGATTGGGATTCTCAGGTACATCCATCTACATACATCTACATATCCTGATTCCCGTGTTTTGGTCCTGCTGACTTTTTTTTTCGATACAGTTATGAGCACCATAATATTAAAGAGCCAGCGCTGTTGGCTGGGATGGCGTTTCCTAGCGAGTCATGAATGATATAGCATGAATTGCTCAATGACATAGAGTTATGGATGTAGATAGACAAAGGGATAACATATATACTGGGAAAACGACCATGTTAAACAACAGTTAGAAATCATAACTGACTTATAGTACAGCACCAATACTTATACATATGTAGAAACAACAATTCCTCATATCATATCTAAAAAGGTCAGAAAGCCAATTTCCGCCATCCCAAACTCCGTATATGCGAAAACGATATCAAATATCAAAGGACCAACTTGCGGATCGAGTGCTTGCTTCGTGGGTCGACTAGCCCAGACGGCCCTCTCTCTTCCTTGGCCCGGCGACCCTTTCAAACATTCTCATGAGGTGGTAGTTGATAGTGTTCTTCTTGATCGTCTTGTCTTTCTGTATACAGCGAAAGACGCAGTTAGCGCGAATCAATCCCCTTCCGTGAAATTGGAGTATAATACGCACCGGTGCATCCATGCACGCCTTCAATTGATGCTCCAATCCCTGGCAGGCTTCGGAGCCGTGTCCGGAGGAAGCCCAGCAGTCTGCGACGGGAATCATTATTAGCCAGTGGCTTCCAAAACAGAGGACTCTATGGTGCCATTGAGCCAATTCTAGGAAGCGAGCGAGCGTAAGACGTACTCAGCAGAGACGACATCACCGTGGTGCACGGGTTCTGCTGGTTCAGGTTCGGTCGACGCACCCGCAGGTGTTCGATCGTCTGGAGACGGACGGGCTTGAGACGAGTCGGGGCACCCTTTTTCACCATGTTGAGGGTATAAACAGATAGTCACGTTCTTCTTCAAGTAGATATTGAGAAGAAAAAAGACACACCCTCAAGCGGAGCGACGGTCTAATAGTCGTACGATGCGCACCGCTGTCTTTATTCTCTTGAAATTAATTCTCCAGGACAGACCAAAGCTTTCGCCGGAGGTGTGCCAAGACCGGAGAAACCGTCAGGAACCTTGTCACCGCTCAAAGGGGCCTAGCGCGGTTGCACGTGACAGACTTGTTCTTCAAGAAGGCATACTCCGTACTGCTTCTATTTAATCACCACGAAAATTTTACCATTTTAAACTGTTTATTTATTTGTTTCTTGAGCTTTCCATTATATCTACTTGGGTAGGTTGGGCAGCACGCAGACAGGATACTCCTGAGTAGTGTCTGGGGCTATACCCAAAGAGGAACTGTATACCTACCTAACCTACCTCCGGTATCTTCTTCAATTTTACTTCAAATCGAATTCATTGATTTATGAAAAATCTCTTATTTTTTTATTGTGTTATTGACGTAATGAAGTGAGATTGATTATAATACAGTAAGAATAGGAGTAATATTACTATAATTGCACTGGAATAATACATATATGCGAAGGGAATAAATGTGCTGTCTATTTCGACCTGGTCATATACTATGCTGTCGGTTTGGAGGGTCCATGACAGGTCAGCCCGCAAGAAACGACAGTGAGAGTGAGTGGAGTGGCAAGTCCAGCAGCGACACAGTAGATATCTGTATCTATTCAAGGGTCAACTTCGGTGTTTTTCTTTTGTATCAGGGGCGGGTATTGAAATTACAACTTCAAATGAAATTGCAAGAAATACAACTTACCTTTTATAGAAAGACGCAAGATTTTTAGAATAACTACTATTAACTAACGTAATTCCCAACCGAACCGGACACCCGACCGAACCGGACACCAACATCGAATTCTGACCGCGGTCGAAAACTTGAAGCTATACACAACAACCAAAACACGTGTATTTCATTGAGTTCTATATATTTAGACGTGTAGGACAACCAGTTCTAATATGTCCCTGAATATGGCAATTAGAACATGTTGGTGGAGCACGTCTTGGCGCGTTGGAAGGTAGAGATGCAGAACCCATAGCTATCTCCTGTATCTCATCTCCTTGCTCGTTTCTCTGGTGTATGAGATCTCTCGCTTCCTGTACAGAAAGGCCTTGATTAGGAGACATCTGGCGCCTTGATCGCCCTCGTTTCTGCTTCTCTTTCTCGTTTGCCATACGGAGATCGTGGTTTC